ACTTTAGTACAGGGAGGGAACGCTAAACCACAGGGAGAGAACGCTACAGCATAGCGAGGGAACACTACAGCACAGGGAGGAAACACTTTAGTACAGGTAGGGAACACTACAGCGCAGGAAGGGAACACTTTAGTACAGGGAGAGAACACTACAGCACAGGGAGGGAACACTACAGCGCAGGAAGGGAACACTTTAGTACAGGGAGGGAACACTACAGCACAGGGAGGAAACACTTTAGCACAGGGAGAGAACGCTACAGCATAGCGAGGGAACACTACAGCACAAGGAGGAAACACTTTAGCACAGGGAGGGAACGCTAAACCACAGGGACAGAACGTTACAGCATAGCGAGGGAACACTACAGCACAGGGAGGAAACACTTTAGCACAGGGAGGGAACGCTAAACCACAGGGAGAGAAAGCTACAGCATAGCGAGGGAACACTACAGCACAGGGAGGGAACACTAAACCACAGGGAGAGAACGCTACAGCATAGCGAGGGAACACTACAGCACAGGGAGGAAACACTTTAGCACAGGGAGGGAACGCTACAGCATAGCGAGGGAACACTACAACACAGGGAGGGAACACTTTAGCACAGGGAGAGAACGCTACAGCATAGCGAGGGAACACTACAGCACAGGGAGGAAACACTTTAGTACAGGGAGGGAACACTTTAGTACAGGGAGGGAACGCTACAGAGCAGGGAGGCAACACTTTAGCACAGGGAGGGAACACTACAGCATAGCGAGGGAACACTACAGCACAGGGAGGAAACACTTTATCACAGGGAGAGAACGCTACAGCATAGCGAGGGAACACTACAGCACAGGGAGGAAACACTTTAGCACAGGGAGAGAACGCTACAGCATAGCGAGGGAACACTACAGCGCAGGGAGGCAACACTTTAGCTCAGGGAGGGAACACTACAGCATAGCGAGGGAACACTTCAGCACAGGGAGGAAACACTTTAGTACAGGGAGGGAACACTAAACCACAGGGAGAGAACGCTACAGCATAGCGAGGGAACACTACAGCAGAGGGAGGAAACACTTTAGTACAGGGAGGAAACACTTTAGTACAGGGAGGGAACGCTACAGCGCAGGGAGGCAACACTTTAGCACAGGGAGGGAACACTACAGCATAGCGAGGGAACACTACAGCACAGGGAAGAAACACTTTAGTACAGGGAGGGAACACTTTAGTACAGGGAGAGAAAGCTACAGCACAGGAAGGGAACACTTTAGTACAGGGAGAGAAAGCTACAGCACAGGTAGGGAACACTTTAGTACAGGAAGGGAACACTTTAGCACAGGGAAGGAACGCTACAGCACAGGGAGGAAACACTTTAGTACAGGAAGGGAACACTTTAGTACAGGAAGGGAACACATTAGTAAAGGGAGGGAACACTACAGCGCAGGAAGGGAACACTTTAGTACAGGTAAGGAACACTTTAGTACATGGAGGGAACACTACAGCGCAGGAAGGGAACACTTTGCACAGGGAGGGAACACTTTAGCACAGGGAGAGAACGCTACAGCATAGCGAGGGAACACTACAGCACAGGGAGGAAACACTTTAGTACAGGGAGGAAACACTTTAGTACAGGGAGGGAACGCTACAGCGCAGGGAGGGAACACTACAGCACAGGGAGGAAACACTTTAGTACAGGGAGGGAACGCTAACCACAGGGAGAGAACGCTACAGCATAGCGAGGGAACACTACACCACAGGGAGGAAACACTTTAGCACAGGGAGGAAACACTTTAGTACAGGAAGGGAACACTTTAGTACAGGAAGGAAACACTTTAGTACAGGAAGGGAACACTTTAGTACAGGAAGGGAACACTTTAGTACAGGAAGGGAACACTTTAGTACAGGAAGGGAACACCTTAGTACATGGAGGGAACACTACAGCGCAGGAAGGGAACACTTTAGTACAGGGAGGGAACACTTTAGTACAGGGAGGGAACACTTTAGTACAGGAAGGGAACACTTTAGCACAGGGAAGGAACGCTCAAGCACAGGGAGGAAACACTTTAGTACAGGAAGGGAACACTTTAGTACAGGAAGGGTACAGGGAGGGAACGCTAAACCACAGGGAGAGAACGCTACAGCATAGCGAGGGAACACTACAGCACAGGGAGGAAACACTTTAGTACAGGGAGGGAACGCTAAACCACAGGGAGAGAACGCTACAGCATAGCGAGGGAACACTACAGCACAGGGAGGAAACACTTTAGCACAGGGAGGAAACACTTTAGTACAGGGAGAGAAAGCTACAGCACAGGGAGGGAACACTTTCGCACAGGAAGGGAACACTTTAGTACAGGGAGAGAAAGCTACAGCACAGAGAGGGAACACTTTAGTACAGGAAGGGAACACTTTAGCACAGGGAAGGAACGCTACAGCACAGGGAGGAAACACTTTAGTACAGGAAGGGAACACTTTAGTACAGGAAGGGAACACTTTAGTACATGGAGGGAACACTACAGCACAGGAAGGGAACACTTTAGTACAGGTAAGGAACACTTTAGTACAGGGAAGGAACGCTACAGCACAGGAAGGGAACACTTTAGTACAGGTAGGGAACACTACAGCGCAGGAAGGGAACACTTTAGTACAGGGGTGGAACACTTTAGTACAGGGGTGGAACACTTTAGTACAGGTAGGGATCTCTTTAGTACAGGGGAGGAACACTTTAGTACAGGGAGGGAACACTTTAGTACAGGGAGGAAACACTTTAGTACAGGGAGGGAACACTTTAGTACAGGGAAGGAAAGCTACAGCATAGGAAGGGAACGCTAAACCAAAGGAAGGGAACGCTACAGCACAGGAGGGGAACGCTAAACCACAGGGAGAGAACGCTCCCTACAGGTAGCGATCTCTTTAGTACAGGGATGGAACACTTTAGTACAGGAAGGGAACACTTTAGTACAGGGAGGGAACACTTTAGTAAAGGAAGGGAACTCTTTAGTACAGGAAGGGAACACTTAGTACAGGAAGGGAACACTTTAGTACAGGGGGGAACACTTTAGTACAACGGGATTGGGTGGTCAGGCTCGCTGACTTGGTTGATGCATGTCATCGTATCCCAATTGCGTAGATCGATGCTCATGATATCAATGACATTGTCTGCCACAAACGGTTAACTGGTGCAATGTACTTTTCTTGTACAAAAATATTCAGGCTCATGGTGTTAATTTAAAAATAGATATTTGGTATTGCAACTTATATATACTTATAAATATATAATCCCCCCCCCCCCCCCCCCCACACACACACACACTCACCCCTCACCCCAATATCTCCTACACAAACACACACACACACACACACACACACACCAAATATAGCGTAAAGCTAATTTCCATACATGTCAAAGTAAAATCAAGGTGTCACAACGATTTAATACAATGTTTAGATAAAGATATCAATACTAGTATATATGTACAATTCATACACACTTATTTTATATTAGTATCAAACTTCGAATAAAACACGTGCTTTTAATTTCAAATGTTCAAACTCTTCACAAACGTGATTCATAACTTGAAAATAAAAATAATATTGAAAATAGCATTTCAATCACGTAAATCCATTTTCTTCGCTGCTCATCAAAATAAAAAAGATGTGATCAAATGTATTATTTCCTGCAATAAACTATTTTTCCAGCTTGCATCATGACGAATGACACGCGAGTCTATAAATATCAAAATAATTTTCAAGTTGAATTACATAATACAACCATCTTACTTATTTTGCCAACTTTTGTATCTATTTACTTGCCCAACGTGTATTCATTGTCGAGTGTTTAAAAAATATAATTTAAAAAAAGATGCTATTATGGCCACACAAAATCCCATTTATCTGGATATAACTACTATGTACTATAATAGTAAAATAAATGAAGGCTTACAAATACTATCGTAAAGAAAGTCCCCATTTCTTATATTTCAGTAGCATTGATTAATGTACAAGTTCGAGATGAGGACATATTTTCGTTTCATTAGGACCTAAATATATCCCACATATAAAAAGCGCCTCGTACTAATGTTGAGTAGGTGTCTCATCTTTTAACTAATTTGTAGTCCCAGCTTTACTATGAGATCATGTTGTATCTATTTCTGCCTCAGTAATACCATTTAAGGTTATAGCAACCACGATAGAATATCTTTAGATCCATTTATATTTCTAGTTTACAATGATAATATGATCTCCAGCGCAAACCCACACAGCAAATCATATTAACAATTGTCTGGGCTGAACTTTGGAAGCGTGGGAAGCTAGTTCCTCGCGTAGTAGTAAGATACAAATGACGTCATCTTGGTAACCTGGCATTTGAATTTCTACAATCTCGTTTCTTGAAAAGCCATAGGTCGTGGGAGAATATAAGAAGACAGTGTTGATCTTGTAGGCGATATATATATATTGGTATAAAAATAGCAATGCTTGTGGAATGTTTATGTGTATTTATGTATGTGTGTGTAAGCGCGAACAGGTGGTTTGACGTCACAACAATTATCACGACGTCACATGAGTATCATGACGTAAGGCGCGAGTTCTGTGTCCAACACTGATGCTATTTGCATTCGGCCTATAATAATCTTTACTAAACGCCAACGGTCAACGGAGAATAAATGTGTTGAAATAATCGAGAACCGATGGATATAACAGGAAATATTTGTCTAAATTGGAAAATACCATAGGTGGTGATTCTATATTTGAAGCCTATTAGGTTGTAATCACGAGACAAAACGGGGAAGTACAATTGTCTTAAAGTTTAACGTAATAATCATAATGAAATCAATAATGTTAATTCTCGTATTAAAACAGCCAGTCACGCTTTATAAATGTTTAATACATTTCAAATCTTAAACAGATAAAGATATCACTACAGCTCTGTTTACCTATCACTTATGTAAACATAAGCTATTTTTAAATTCACGTCAGCAGATTTCAGCCTCCCAGAACGATTTACGAAGATAAAGCTTCAAATAGGATACAAGGTGAATATTGTGACATTGTTGCTATCTCCCGGACCTAGAAATCCACTCCTAGCGGCGGTGATTTTGTTGGAAACGAACGTTCAGCTGTTTCTGTTGGGCCCGACAGTGTTGTGATCACGGATAAATGCTGAGTCAGCCTATAGCGCGGTCACTGAGTGCTTGCTGAATCATCAACACGGTACGCGAGCGCGCCAAACACTGGCATAGGTTCATCTAGTGAACTACGTAATTTCACGGTTATCGTAAACCAAGGAACTAGAGACATCTTCATTGTTTCTACAGGGGGAATTGTACCATTTTCTTCCAAGAGTGAGAGCAAAGGAACAGGTTTTGACTATTATTGTGGACGGAATATGAGCAAAAAGGTACGTGAGTCGAGGCAAAGTCCGTTACTCTCATTGTAAGCGTGGTCTGCCTTTGTTTACGTCCTGTTTGGGTAACACCACTTATTGCGCACATAGCAATTTCTACTCATATATGACATAAAGATCCAGTTTTTGGATACATATGAATTGTTTTGTCATTACCTATCGATTGAAATGAGTGTGGATCTTTAAATATCAATATTTCCGCTAAATCCCTCGTGGCTTGTGTTTTTGTTTTGTATTGTGACCTGCCTCGTGCAACTATGGCATGTGTGTTGCGCATTCATCACTCGCCTATTCAATGGACTTTCCTTTGTTATTAACGTGGTTTTCAGACTGTTTATTGATCGTTAATTGTATCTTTAAATGATTTCTTGATAAGTAATGAACATATCTGAGCCAGGAATATCCGAATCATGTCAGAATTTATCGGTCATACTATGTGTGTCATTGTGAACCGAGTTGTTTACATGGAGGACGGGTTTGGTCTTTCTCAATGAATTCGGATTGTGCAATATCCTTGTCTTAGGAACGATATATGGCGACATATTTTCATCGTAAATTTTTATTTTTGACTCATTTTATTCAAGGTGATGATATGATGGGTGGTAAATTACGAATTTAAACCTCGTATGGTTGGAATGTTTTCAAGCAACGCATATCTGACCTCAATAACAAAGGATTTGGTCACATGATCATTCTCAAACAAAAGATTCCTTTCGTGGAGTAAATTCTCGTGTCAGCAAGATCGGAATTCCTCGGTAGTCATCCTACACAGTTCAGATTGTTTAAGATAAATGTAGACTTATTTTATTTTATTGACAAATAAACACGGTTGCGCGTGTTGTGTAATTTGTGCTCGCGTGTTATTTTTAGCTATGTAGTAATCTGTTCATTTCTGCACTTTCAGCCTTATTTTTAGCACCTGTGGTTCTTTGTCTGTAGTAGTCATCAATAATTCTAGGAGTGGTTTGAACCTAGAGACACTGTCATGGTGCTAGACAGTGCCTAGAGTTAATTGAATACACAATAATTGATTAATGTTGTCATTAGTTCACTTGATGACTTTTTGGCCTAGTGACAAATAATTATCAAGACAATGCAGTCATCAAGTGAAAAGGAAATAGTTTAGGATGCATAGGAAAACAAAAATCCTTTTTCTTATATTTTCTGTTAATTAATATATATAATTTTGGCACAATACCAATGAAAAGAATCCAGTTCATCATCAGGACTGCAACTTGGTTTCAAGTTGATTTTGAATGATCTTTCACTTATAAATTTCAATATCAATAATTCCTCTTATGCAGTTAAACAATTAAAACTGAAAACATTCAAGAAGTATTTTATGAAACCATTCTATGCTAGTGGATATTTTAGCACATAATAAGTATCCTCTATAGTAATGAGACCAAGCTGAAAGAAAGCAAAAAAACCCATTAAACATTGTTTTAAACTAAACTGAAAAAGCTTAACATATGTAGTTTTTCAATTATCTGTTTAAATATGAAACTGGATTTTTATGAAATGAGATAGATTGATGTTTACTTTGTTCTTGATTCTGGAACCTATGTCTTTTTGATCTAATGATTATATGGGGTTTTTTAACTTTTGGATACCACTGTAAGATCATGAAGATAGGTGTTAAGCTAGTTTATTTAATACCTAGCGTACACAACAAAGCATTTAAGTTTTCAGATATCTGTTTCTAGTTATTTATTCATCAGAATTACTTGCAAATCAAAATTATCATTTTGCCAAATAATTAAGATATCACATTCCTGTTTATTTCAAGAGGTCAAGGTATCACATTCTTCAAATGTGTGTGGTGAGATAGGACAATGTATGTAGTATAATCATAATACATAAATAAAACACAAAGTCGGTTACTTATCATGTTTATAAAACAAGAATTTAGAATAAGTATTTTTCTTCTAAATATTTTCAGATTTCAAATTTTATGCTCTTCCTTGTACCATGATTATTTCTGTTTGTTTTGTTATACCACAGTCTTGTATTTCTATTAACTGATGTGGATGATATTTATTTCTGATATCAAATTAGTCCTAGTTTACACGGTTATTTGTTTGCCTTAATCCTTATCTTTCTTACAAGGTCCAATATTTATTCATAGACTGATTCCTGGAGGGTATTAGACTAACAGACGTTCAATGACTATGAAAATAACATTGAAAAGCATTGCTCACTACATTGTGGGTAAAAAACTATGTTTTCTCAATAATCCTGGTTTATATTGGGCTCAACAGCACTCACATAGATGTGGAGGAGGGGGTTGTTTGTGGAATTGTGTTAGGCCCAGTTGAAGACATTTTCTAATTTTTATCATCTATGATTTAACTTTCAGCAGAATTTGATGTGGAGCATCAGGGCCCACTTGCACAAATCGACCTTAGGACTAAGATGATCGTAACTCCCACACATTTACATAGGCTCACGATCGTCTTAGCGCTAAGATCGCTTTGTGCAAGTGGGTCCTGGAGTAAGATGTCTCCCTTACCTTAAACATTTTCACAAATCACCCATGAAGGGGTCCCCGATCGAACCTTTCTTGTGAATTCAGAAAGAATTTATGACTTCATATATATGCCATTACTCAGTCACCAGGCCTATCAACATGATCAAGTTACACAACCGTTTATTAATTTACAGTACTGCTTAACACCTCATCTCCTTGTGCAGTGTTGCATCTCTAAGACATGCAAATAAATTACGGGTTCGAGTCCCAGATATGCCCTGAGCCTGATCCTTTCTTGGTCTGTCAGCACCAAACCACAGCCATGTTTGACCCAATTCCCTCATTCATAAGAATTTGACCTGGGTTTGATTCTTCACACATTGTACCCATGTCGGGAATCGAACCCGGGTCTCCGGCATGACAAGCGAAAGCAGAAACCAATATGCTGCCCAACACATAATGAAGGAACAGACCGAAGATACCTGTAAAATATATTGTATGTACAGTATTATACACAAGACAGTATTAAAAATAAATATCACAATAAAGGTCGTTCTGTTTTGTTGTTAGGAACAGTATTTTCTAATTGGCCCCAAACTATTAAAACGAAAATTATTAATTTTATCACTGTGTATATTAATTACTTCTTTGTCAACATAACCTTGATCCCAGCATCTTATTTAACCAACTGCAATGAATTCCTTTGTTGTTACAATTGGGGCGGTCGGGTAGCCTAGTGGTTAAAGTGTTCGCTCGTCATGCTGAAGACCCGGGTTCGATTCCCGACATGGGTACAATGTGTGAAGCCCATTTCTGGTGTCCCCCGCCGTGATATTGCTGGAATATTGCTAAAAGCGGCGTAAAACCATACCCACTCACTGTTGTTACAATTTGGTGGCAAGGGCAGAGTAGAGATAGAACTGTGAACATGGTATAAACACTGTCGCCTAGATGCAAATGTGTACAGCCCCTAAACATTGTGCTGCCAAGGAACAAGGGAAGGAAAGGCTACACTTCAGTGCTTTCATTCATGTAATTTGCATGTTTAACTTCACGGGAAGATATTGTGTTATTGTTTAAAACCGCTTTTTCTTGTGAAACAATTGATTGATTTGTAATGGCTTTTCCTGATTAATCTTGCAATATATTATATAAGTGTTTCTACTTTCTAGTATTGATGGTAAACCTCTGCCTTTATTCCTGGTAATATGTAGTATATCAGTGATTGCCAATCGTCACGTTGCCTAGTGTATAGGTTGTCATGGTTACAGGTATTGAAATCAATCATAATCAATAAAATGTCATCTGTTGGTGAAATATTCAAGTAATGATTTTGTGGTCTTGAATATCAAATGCAATAAATATTCCCTTTTTTAGTTGTAAGCTCAAAGAGCGAATGAGTGAGTTAGTGTGAGTTAATATTTAGAGTTACATCAACATGTCTTCAGCCATTTTGTAACTTGAACATCATCACCATTAATATTGTATTATATTAAGCTTGAAGAACTTGATGCTTGTCATTTAACAATGTTTATTGAATAAAGAATTATTATTCATATTTTTTCATAAATGAAAACAACAATATGGCACTTTAAGTCTGAATTCTATATGGACACACTAGAAAAGAACCATTTATTAAGTAAACTACCACTATTTGCCATCACAGATGGAATGTCCTCAGATAGAAAGATATTCATCTACCGCAAGCTTTGATATGTTGATCATTGAAACTCCTAGCTTATAATGGATGAAGGATCAGCTTGCATTCTATCTTCAGTAGCTAGTAACAACTTCATGTTTATTGACATTTTTATCAACTAGATGAGAAATGTGACACAGCCTTGTGTAGCTGGATTTATAAAACTAAATCAATATATAATAACATAAAACATATTTAGGCTTCTTGAATAGTTTTGTCTTCTTCATCTTGTATTTAAAGTGCCTCTGTTGTTTTTAAAAACCTTTTAACATGCTCTTCATGTACTTTGTTTTTTTAATAATTTCTTTTTTTACGATCTTGCGCTTAATATGTCAGTAACAACATCAATTGATTAGTGAAGATATAGAACTAGCAGGAATTTTCTTTTTATCTCCATCAGAATGAAACTTATTTTGTTTTCAGAAATGTTGCGTAAGGTATATACTTTTGAGAAGGAAGTGATATCCATGTATGAGCATGATGAGTCACGTCCCTCATATAACTCCACCCACAAGAGCTGTGACATGTTAAAGCCATTGAAAGATAAAAATACTGTTGTGTGGAGTTTGTAAAGGTGATTTATATTTGGTCACTGATATAGTAGAGCTCTTTCAGTCCAGTATATTTTAATCATGTTAATCATTTTCTTCATTTTGCCTGTGGGTGTGGTTCTTATATTTCCTTGTTTCGAAATTTGCTTAAGTAGTTGAAGGTAATCTCAGCATTTTCAGTTTCTGGTTTAGTCACTAACTGCAGTTTTCCCCCTCTTAGGATTTTTCTGAGAAAGTTGACATGGCAGATAAAGCGGCTTTGTGTACAGCTGTT